CAATCTACACATTTTTCCCTTCCTACAGCAAGCACTAAATAAAATACCAACACTGAATTAAGGCAAAAGTAACAATACCATTTTACTACAATATCAACAATATTTACTACAACAAGAATTTGTATTTTCTAATTTCTCAAGAATAAGTTTTAGTACAATTACTTCCTGAACTTCAAAATTACCTCAAATTGACCAAAAGACCTACTTTACAGGTAAAATTATAAAAGTGTTAACAGAACTGAAAAAAAGAATGACTCTATTCCTTTCTAATGCTATTTAAAATAACTTGGGAAAACTGTAAATATTTCATCCTAAATTATATTTACTAAATGTCTTGACTCAAATTATATAGATCAACACCTAAATTGACAATTAAGACAACAACAAAACAATCATTCTAAACAATTTAACCAAGTTGTCATGAAGCATTCAGATTCCCACATCCCTAACTTATAAAAATTGCTTAATTATAAAAATTTTTGTGGTTATTTAATTTGTTACTTATTAGGAATATACTTTCTATTTCACTTTGTACCTCCACCATATTTATCTCAAGTTTTACACTTCTGGAACTTCCACCACTACAGATCAACCATTAAGTTACTTCAGCAAGAAGAAATAGAAACACCGCTCCCAAACAGCAATTTCTGCATTGCTAGACACTTATCTAGTTGGTAGTTTTATACCACTGTTCATTCTTAGTTCCTCAAATGTAAAAAAATATCCACAGAATGGTGGCATACCTCTAATTAGTTTAAATATAGTACAAAGCTATTTTTAGTGACACTCAAGTTTTTAAAAGACACTAATCATTCTTCAGTTCCTCTCCTATTAAAAATAATAAAAGCTAAGTGGTTTTTTCCTCTCTTTTAGAAAGAAGAAATGTTATTAATGTTCAATTAGAAAGGAATACTAGAATAATAGACCGAACTTAAAATCATGGTCAGTATCATACATATGGTCAACAAAAATAAGTTTAAAATTTACTCTAAGGATGGACTCTCTAATCTAAGCATGGTTAAATGTCATTAAGTATACTTTACTATACTGAATGTACTTTAATACTCATAAAAGAAACATACTCTTTCTATTATACAAAGTACAAAGAAGAAAACCTCATAAGCCATTATAAACTGATATTTATTTATGCCCCCTGCAAAAGAAGATTTGAGAAACATTTACTTAATTATTTGAGATCTATGTCTACTCTTTCCTTGCAAGCTAGAAAGAGGCAAAGACAAACACTTCCAAATATTCAGACAGATCACTCCCCAGTTGTAACTTTCATCATAGCTCTCAAAACAGTAGGGTGAGGTCAGTTCACAAACAGCTTAAGTACCAAAACTAGGAATTGATGGTAGTAGTATCAGGCTACACAACAGCCTGCTCAAAGAATATGAAGTAACAGAACGAAAATGTGTTGGCAAGAAGCCAAAAGGCTGGATGGACTATAACTGTGGAACACTGCAGAGCTTATAACATACAGCAATTAATCTCTTATCCTGCAGTTTGACTTTCCTTGTTTTAAAATGAAAAGTCATGTAAAAGAGATATTTAACACTACCACATTTCTCCATACTTGTAAGTTGAAAGGAATCTAAGCAGCAATGACTTTTTATAAACTAAATAAAATCCTAAAATTAAAAGCATGACTTCCATATTATGTGAAGATGAGGTAAATAAGTAATTACACTGGTATTATTCTGCATAAAATAGTCTTTATTCTTCAAGGATTCCTCAGCACAATCCTAAACGCTTGGTTTTTTTCTATTATGTCAGTTCTGAGAATTTCTGCAAAAGACTAGCATTTAGAATTGGTCAAATTATAGACTAATATTAAAACACAAGTCATTAAATATGGCAATAAAGAGCTAATCCTAGCAAACCAAATATTTCTAGTCAGAAACAACTCCTTTGACATTAGTGTCTGACCAAAACATGTGACTTTTCTAATTTCATTTTGATTGAATTATATTAAAATAGAATAATAAACTCTAATTATTAAATCCCTGACATTTTCTAATTATAACAAAATATCAAAGCCAAATGCAATTATCTTAGACAAGAGGATCTGAATCAATCAAATCAATACACATTTATTTAACATCTATTTTGTGCCATTTCTAGAAACTGGGAAAACAAAGATAAATATGCATATTGTCTCTCAGAGCTGAACATTTAGTTGGGGAGACTGACCTACTACAAAACGCACACACTCACACACACAAAATCTAGCTGGGGAGACTGATCCACTACCACACACACACACATCCCCCTAACTGGGGAGACAGACCTGCTACCACCCACCCACATACACTTCTCTCCTAGTTGGGGAGACTGACTCACCACAACATGTGTGCACATGCACGTGCACACACACTCACAAGCACACAGAACTGGGGAGACTGATCTGCTACAAAACAAAAACAAATACAGGAGCACATGTACACAAACATACTCATTCACACTCTCTCTCTCACATTACTACTCTTCTACTCTCAGGTAGCAGACATGACTAATTGATTAAGATATATTTAAAACCTAAGTGAGAACTCAGAGAGACTCAAGAGAGAGCCTAAAACCAGAAGATAGTTGGTCCAGGAGATGAAACTCAAATGCCATCTTTAGACTGGGAAGAAAAGGTAGTAGGATGTATGGCAAGAAGGCTAATTTAAGGAAAGATTATGAATAGCCAGAAATGCTAGGCAAACAAGTTTAAATTTTACTCGAGACAGCAGAAGACCAAGACATGATTGTATTAGTAATACTGATGCTATCAGTCTCAGCAGATATGTGAAGAATAGATGCGAGGAAAGAGAAAGCAAGCAGAAAGACCAGTTAATAGGCTACTGAAAAGCATAAGCAAGACACTATGAAGTCTGAATTATGGCAATGGCAGAAATCAACTGCTGATTCTAAAATGCAAAAGTAGTTGGGATTTTTATTATGTGTGCTTATAAAATAAAAGCTGAAGAAAAACTAATATTCTAATCAGAATTTCCTAATTATAACATTCAAAAAAGAAAATATGACAAATTAGAAGAAAGACTGAAATTAAAGACATGAATCACAATGATATCCAAGATTACTCAAGACTATAAATTCAGAAATAGATATTTCAGGTTTAGCATCAAGAAAGAGAACGTCCTCATGACCAGACTAATACTCAGCAAGTCTTTTCTTCCTCTTAGGGCACTAATACTCTAGCCAAACAACACTATTCACCTTACGTGCCCCTACAACACAGGGTCAAAAATCACACTGCCAGTAGGATGCAGAGAATACAAAATCTAAAGCCCTGTAGGAATCCCATTTCCCCAAACATTTAAAACTACACATTTTAAGAAATATATTTATATAACACCAATCTTCTAAGGGATAATATTATTCTACCACTATTTCATATCGCAGACATTTTTTTAGCAGCCTACAACCCATGTGCTGCATTTCAGACAGTATCAAAGAAAAGCAATTCACCTACCACCTATTCTCAACAGCTCATTAAATGAAAATTATTCTAATTGGGAGTAATTTTTTAATCTCACAAGGTCAAAGATACAGAAAGAAATTTTCTCTTTTGGAAAACAGGACTCTAGCTACTGCAAACAAAAGCTAGCATAGTGATGTGAAATCCAAAAGCAACATGTTAATAGGCATGCTAGAAAAGCCAGCATTTCTGTTTTAAGACTAAGGATATTCTCATTAAGGATAAAATTATCCTGTAGTGAATGCCAACAATGCACTACTACATGGACAAACATTCAAGGCTTCTATTTTTTTCTCATCCCAATACTTCTGTGTCCTAAAAAACAAATTCTCAAACTGAAATTCTCTTCCTCTTTAAAATGAAATGAAAAATATGACTTAGAGATAAAATTAATGTATTTATTCTAAGGAAGCAAATTATTATTATAATGTGCAATCAAGTTGGATTCCAGCAGATTTTCAGAGGTAGCAAATCAAAGGGGGAGGTGGGAGAGATGGCAGCACAATTCCTTACCACTAGGCCACCAGAGTTCCATAAGGAAGCAAATTAAATGTACACTTCATTATAATTAATCTCTTTTCCAGAAAGATAGATAGATTAGATAGATAATAGTCATGAGTAGGGTCTACTTCTCATAATGCCATTCCAAAACCATTACTAAACTTAACACATTATTCTTCCTCCTAATCAGTCACAAAACTAATCATTCTAAGACTAAGGTCAAATTCCATTCCAAGTAAAAGATCTCCCAATTTGTGGTAATGGTCCACTTACTAAGTAATACCCAAAGACCAGAAATGACCAAATTCCAGAATGGTCCTACTCCCAAACCTTCCCTGCTAAATAAAAAGTCAGCCTTCTCCTTTTAGCTCACTGTAATGGAATGTGTGTGACCTGTTCTTAGGGGCTTTTCCATTCCTTATTCACTGCTTAGAGAATGTAAATAGACCTATTCCTTCTCAAAAAAGTAGTAATTAAAAAAAAAAAAAAAGAAGAAAAATCTATGCAGTTGATCAAATAACAACAATGAGAATAAACAAAAGATAGTTTACCAGATCTCATTAACTTGTTCTCCTCTAAAACACAGAACTAAGAAAAATCTATTTAAATAACAATTTAATCTTTATTTTACATGTCAGACATCTAAAAACTTTTATGACTTGTATGACTTCTAATAAAATGGGTAGGAGAGAGGAAGATAAACTACAACTTAAATCTTCACAAAATTACTATAAACATCTTTCTGTGACATATTTTTAACACTGATGCAACATACTTAAGTATCCATCAGAGAGAAAACAGGGAAACATTTAAGAAATGTACTTCAAAGTCTAAAATTAAACACTTAAATCTATCTGGGGTTCAGTTTCTCCACCGTAAAAAAAGAAAGTATTTGGCTAGATGATTTTTAAAGTTACTTCTATGTTTATTTAATACACGTTTCAAAATGAACAATTTTGATGATTTAATTCAGATAACCAGGACAATTCTATTAAGGATATATTTTACTTACATTCTTCCTACACCTTCATACATGTTAGTTTCATCCACCAAAGTCATGATCTCTGTATCTGTAAGATGTGCATGTTTTTTTGTTCTGGTTAGCTGTTCAATCTGTATGTCTGCAAGCTTCACTTTCTGTTGCGTGTCAATAACTTTGGCTTGAAGCTCTGTAAAGGCCTAACAAATAAGTGCTTGATTTAGCAGGTAAAATACTTGATAGGAAACATTTAAGTCAAATCCAAATGCTTTTAAAACAAAACATATTAACTCCAGACAAAGCTGTGAAATTTACCAGGGCAAACACTAATGAAAGTCAATTTAACTGCAAACAATCACAGAACTATGCTAAATATTGAATTTACACTGCCTTAAGAAGATAAAATCTACTTGGACTAGCATAAATGCACATTAAATAGTAACCATTTCAAGTAGGAAGTACTCAAAAAATAATAAAATATACAATAATACTTTAGAGGATTAAACCCTCCAATTCAAAACAGGAATACAGTTTGTTTTTTTGTTTTTGTTTTGTTTTTTAATTTTTGTGTGTGTGTACCGTCAAATCAGATCTGACTGGTACAGGAGGAGATTGTCCCTCTGGGATTGTAGTTGCAGCTCCTTGCCACTAGGCCACCAGAGCTCCCCAAGGAATACAGTTTTAAAAACTTATTGCATTTGTACTGTATCTCTAGGTTCAAAAGCAGGAGAGATCTGATAGCTTAGCAGCAAAAGCTGCACAGCAATCCCAAAGGCACTTGATTCGAGGCAACCCATTGCACTATGGGAGAAGGATGGGCAATCTCCTCCCATGCAGTTAACTGCCTCTAAATATCTGGAGGGTCAGCCACAGGTTGGTTCCAACTGTACAGTACACAACAGCAGCAGCAAGTTCCAAAGTATTTTCTCAATTTCATCTTTAATATTCTAAGTATATCTCATTTATGTCTCTCAATATCCCCATAAATTAGGCACAGATGTTTTTTCAAACCACTAATTAAGGAGCTAAGTTTGTTAAGAGATAGGTGCAAAGGCATGCACAACTGTTAGACAAAAGGAAGGTATTTAAATCCATTTCTTCTGATTCCTAATACAGGAATCATCCATTCTGTCTATAAAATTATTCAAAAAAAATTTACTTTTAAGAGAAACATCAAAAAGAAAAGAAAATGCCAATTACTGATAGAAGAACTGCATCATGATCTTCAGATATACACCAAGCCAAATTCTACCCTGTGTAGATTTACTTAACTCAGAGATAAACAGGATATTCTTGTTGGAGTGTCTAGAATGATTTTCACAAATTGTCAAATTTATACCTTAATAATAACACTTGTAAGTGAAACACATGGCAAAGGCTATAACATAACTTTTACTATTACTTTGTTCTCAGGTACTTACAAGGTCTCAAAAGATTCTGGGTGAAGGAAGAGACCTAAAATTTCCTATTAGTCTCTATTACCCACTCAAAAAAAATCTGGAAAAAATAATAGAAAATAAAACTTCTGAGCAATTTTGCTGGATTTCATAATTTAATTGGTTGCCAAAAAGAACTCATTTAAGTCTATCACTCTCTTCATTTACATTTGTTGCCTACGTTTCTTAGCAGTAACACTAATGGCCTAGCACCTAAGAGACGTCCTCTTAATGGATTTTCTGCTGTAGTTGTTTCGTGTATCATCAAAGAGGAACCACCTCATAGCTGACTCTCCAGTGGTTTTCAGAGACCATAATCCCACAGGAGGAGGTTGCCCATCTTTCTCCCACCACTGGCTAGTGGATTTGAACCACATTGCATGCCTGCAGGCTGAGCACAACTCTTTAACACCAGACCACCAGAGCTCCCTCTCATGCACGATTTATAGCCTCTGAAAACATGCTGAAGGGTCAGCTATGAGCTGGTTCTGACTCCATGGCAATCAACAACAAAATAAAATTTCAAGGAGAAAAAAATATAAAATTACAAGGTAAGTCTATTTATAGTTTTATGGGTTTGGGTTTATTGTTAGCAATAACTTCAAATAATTCTGGAAGTTAGTTCACAGTTATACTGCCTCGTTAGTTCATTCAATAAACTCAGATTTAAATTTAAAGTTAGCGATCAAAAAAGTATCTAAAAAAACCTCAATGTTGTGAAGTAAGAACCGACTCATTGTTGATTATCCAGGTAGGTTAAACTGCATGGTAGGAGACTGTCCATCTTTTTCTCACAGATCAGCTAGTGCATTAGAACCACCATGGAGGCATCACCATTGGGTTTGGGCACAAACCCACTTTTAGGCACAACTCTATCTGGAGTAAAGCCCAACCTCTTGTTATTAATGAGGGAGCTCCGGTGACTTAGAGAGGGGAAAAACTGTTCTGCCAGTGAAAAGGTACATGGTTCAAATCCATCACTCACCAGCTGCTCTGTGAACTTCGTTGTTAAGTGCTGCTGAGTTGAGTACAACTAATGGAGCCCTCATGAACAACAGTTCTGAACTCTGTCCTATTGTATCATCCTCTACACATTTGAGTCCACTGCCTCAGCCACTGCTTCAAACCATCTCACTGCTGACCCTCCACCTTTCCCATACATTCCATATTCCACTTATTAATGGATATTTACAACTATTTCTCATTTTTTTATTACCTTCCACTGTAGGGTCCTACCTCTAGTATTATGTCTAATATTGTTCCTCTAAATTGTTCATAGGATTTTCAAAGGCCAGTTATTTCAGAGGTGGATGGGCAATCCTCTTCTTAGTCTGTCTTACTCTGGAAGCTCTGCTGAATTCTGTCCAACATGTGTGATCTGCTGCTGTTAAAATACCAGTGGCACAGCCTCCAGCATCACAGTAGCCAGCAATCTACCTTATTGGCAGGCGAGAACTCTATGCAGAAGAGCAAACTATGAGAAAGATAGGCAATCAACTCCCATTCGGCTTACTGCCTCTGAAAACCCGGTGGAAGATCAGCTATGGGTCGGTTCCAACTTGATGGCACACACCATCACCACTTGAGCTCCCTTCCGAAAAAGTGTAGGATAAATTACTGGATTTCAGCCCCAACCTCTGAGTGTGACTTTTCTGCAACTCACTTTCTATATTCATTTAAACTACAGTTCTCATGTCCTTTCCAATATCGCGCCCGCCTGACGGTAGAAATCTGACCACTCTTAAAATAATAAAATCTGAGCAATACAGTTTTAAATAATTATTTGTACAAAAAGGAAAGCCTAATCCTTTCTGAATCCGAGTTCATTTGTAAAACTTCACTGATCTGTTAAGTATTAAGGCGGGGGGGGGGGGGTGTCTGATGGTAAACTGGTTTAAAGCCAGGATGGGGGGAAAGGGAGCGGTTTCCGCGAAGATACCGACCGCTCCGCGGGAGACCGATGAGACAATCGATCGGCCTTGGTACAGATTTACACCCTGGAAGCCCAAAAAGCACATCTACTTTGTCCTATAAGGTGGCAATGCGTCAGAGTGGTCTCCACGGCAGTGGGTTGCGCTGGGTTTCAAAAAATGTCCTGAAATGTACACCGTTAGAAAAATAACTGACTTACTCAACTGTCGAAACTGCGAATAGCTTAAAAACACAGGTTGCAAATGAAGAGAGAAACTGCAAGTCGTCCGAAGGAATTGTAATTTCAAACACTCTCCTTGCACTTTACTACAAAAATGAGTCGCTGTGGACTCCTCACGTGTTAAAAAAGCCCTAGCGTTCAGAACTAAGGGACTGGCCAGAGGTGGGTTCTCAGAATTAAAGGGTCCCCCAGCCCAGTATTCTTCTGTTCCAGGGGAGCCGCTCGCCCCTCACCCGGTCCCGCCTTAGGAGTCTAGAAAACGATTTCCCAGTCCCCTGGGGCCTTTTTTCTTTTACGGAATTCCGTCAGTACTCTTGTCCACGGTCCCCTAGGCTTGGAAATAGACTTTCTTCCCTGACCATGACCCTTTTTTACCTTCTTCAACTCCAGATCCACGGGGGCAGCCATCTTAGTTTAATTTATGCGCCTGCGCAGCGAGAGAAAGCCGGAAAGGAGGCGGGGAAAAGACCCGCCAGGGCAAACGGCATCTTCGCTTCCCTTCTGCGCCTGCGCCTTTTTTTTTTTAGACATTGGAAAGAAATTTATTAGCTTGCTGAAGAAAATCAAAGACCACAATTTTCAATATGGATTACATCTAAACATCAAGAACAAAAATAATCATTACTGGACCAATATGAGATGTCATGATAAATGGAGAAAATTTTGTAATGGTTAATGAACTCATTTTACTTGGATCCACAATCATCATCTATGGTAATAATAATAAAAAAATTGGTGAAAAAAACCCATATTGGGATACATTGGAAAAATCTGTTTTCAATTACCTATTTATATGTATTATAAAATTATGAAGAAAAATAATGTCAATGTAAAGACATGCCGTCATTTTTTATTATAATTATTAATTTTCATGAAAGTCTACGGAGACTTACGGTTTCCAGTCATTCATTGTTGCACAGTTCTGCCCTTTTGAGCTAAGTGTAGTATTTTTAATGTCAAGTAGGCCATGATCATTTCAGTCACTTGCTTATGCTGCTGAAAGATGAACATATAATAAGGATGACAGAAGAAGAATTGATGCCTCTATGCTATGATGTCCCATGGATAGGTCTTGGAGAAAGTGAAGCCAGAGTACTCCCTGGTGGCAACCATGATAAAGCTTTGTCTCACACACTTTGGGCATGTTCCTAGGAGAGATTATTCTTTGGAGAGAGACATCATGCTTGGGAAGATGAAAGGTGAAAGACTCTCAACCAAATGAATTGACACAGTGACTGCAGCAATGGGCTTCAGTGTGTCAGAGGTTGTGACGATAAGACAGGATTAAGATCGATTATTCATAGGGTTGCTATGAGTATTACTTGACTCAATGGCATCTAACAAGTAGGCCAGTCAGTGTTAGAATGCTCTTTCATGTCCTCTACACACAGCTCAACCGACTTGATGTCTGTGTTTAATTTATTTGAAAGAGAGCTTAGTTTGTGCTGCTAAATTAAGATGATGTTTTGTTGTTTGTGCCATTGAGTCTATATGATTGTCTGAACTTTGCCCTATTCTCTGCCATCCTCACATCTCTTTCATGTTCAAGCCCATTCTTAAAGTCACTGTGTCAATCCTCTTATAGATAGCCTGCCTCTCTCTGATCATCCAGCATGTTTTTTACCAAAACTACCCCCTACTGACCACATGACCAAAGGAGTACATTTTTTTAAGGTGTATAAACTATTTATTAACAGACAAGGCCTACAGACTTATTTCCTCTTGGACACACCCACAGTACAGCCCCAAGGCCAGTGGTCTTGGTGTGCTGGCCTTGAACTCAAAGTCCCCAAAAGTGGCTAGCCCTCTGTGGGCACGGATCTTCTTCAGTCGCTCCAGGTCTTCACGGAGCTTGTTGTCCAGACCATTGGCCAGAATCTGGCTGTATTTCCCACCCTTCACATCTTTTCGTCTGTTCAAGAACCAGTCTGGAATCTTGTACTGGCGTGGATTCTGCATAATAGTGATCACATGCTCCACCTACTCTTCAGTAAGCTCTCCTGCCCTCTTGGTGAGGTCAATGTCTGCTTTCCTCAACACCGCAAGAGCACATCTTCACCCTACACCCTTAAGTGATGGCAGTGATGACAAAGGCTATTTTCCGCCGCCCATCGATGTTAGTATTGAGTAATTGCAAAATGTACTGGAACTTCTCTGGGATCACTAGAGACATGGCAGCGGCAGCAACGGCGGCATGTAGGCCTCCAGTGGAAGAGCAGCAGTACATTTTTTGCACTTTATCAACTTCACAGAGGGGAAACTATCCCAACAACAAAATCAATAACACCAAACCAATTCCCATGAGATCAGACATGTCCACCATGTTCCGATGACTCTTTCTACACATCTTAATACCAACCTTAATGCTTTAGTGGGTTCAATATCTAATGCAAAATGCTCACAGTCCACCATATTGGGGAAGCCAAAGGTTATACTTAGAATAATAGCAAAATACAGTTAAGACAGCTCCTGAAATGTGCACACAGGCACATCAGCCTTGAGTCTCACAGCACTAAGTGTTCCCAAGTTTTCAGTCTTACCAATATCAGCTTCCCACCCACAATTGTCCAACAAAGTTCTCAGTCCTGCCAATATTAGTTCAATCTTACCCTCCCCTCGGTCTCACCCCCACTCAAAGACCCTATCTCATCTCACATCAATTCTCCACTTTAGCCATAGCTGCTGCTGCCATCCCTAAATGTGTCCTATATTTTACTTGGTTGAGGGAGGTCTCTAGTCTCTGGTCGGGGGAAGATTTCAATCTCTTCTGTCAGGGGAAAATTTTCTATTTTGGGCAGTTAGTGCTGTTCAATTTATTGGTGAGACTAGTTCATTCTCTTGTAGATTGGTAAGACTTGACAATCCCCTTGTGGAATGGTAGATCCTTTTGTGGCTAAGTCAATATGCCTTACTTGCATAGTCCCACCCCTTCATATAGACAGTCATCCACACTAGAAAAACCTTGTTGAGAGACCAACTCCACAGATTTTAATTGAGTTGGGATACACTTAAGGTCATATTTTAGTTATCATTAACTTGCTTTCATTTTATTCAACTTCAGTTTAAACTTGGACATGACTAAGTCTTGAAAGTCTGTTCCACTGTAGCCCTGGGCCTTGTTTGTCTGCTCATGTTGAGCTTCTGCAACATATCTTTCCACAGATGTAGTAAATTTGATTCCTGTATAATCCATCAAGTAGCATTTATGTCTTTAATATCAACTTGCCTTTTTTGTACAATCATTGATTGTACAAAATACTATCATACACTCTCTAGTCTTATTTCTTATCACCAAGGCTATATTTTCCAATTACCAGTCCTTTTCTTTTATTCTAACTCTTGCAATCCAGTCACCAGCTATTATTAACACTCCTTCATTGTATGTTAAGTTAATTTCAGACTGCAAAAAGTGATAGCAATCCTCAGTTTCTTCATCTTTGACTTTTACAGCTGGTGCATATATTTGAAAAATAGATGTGTTGACAGCTCTTTTTTTTATGCAATGGATAGTGTCCTATTACATCATTGTACATCTTGACACGTTCCTTTACACAATGAATGGGACACCATCTGTCGTCAATTAGTCAATCGTGGCATTGTAGAGAATATGATCATCTGATTCAAAACAGCCATTCTCAGTCCATCTTAGCTCATTCATGCCTAAGAGGCCAAACTTTATGCATTCCATTTCATTTTTAACAACTTTCTATTTTCCTAGACTCATACTTTATACCCTCTATATTCCCATTATTCATGGATATTTGCAATTGTTTCTGCTCATTTTTTAGTGTCTTCCAACCTGAGAGGCTTTACCTCAACCAATATATCTAACAATGCTCCTCTGTTATTCATAAGATGTTCTAAGGCCTATTATGGCTTTTGGACTGTGTGGATCACAACAAGCTATGATTGACTCTGAGAAGAATGGGAATCCCAGAACATTCGATCGTGCTAATGCAAAAACTATGCTTGGGCCAAGAGGCAGTCATCAGAACAGAGCAGGGAGACCCGGGATGGTTCAAAATCAAGAAGGGGGTCCGTCCGGGATGTATTTTGTCTACATGCCTTTTCTATTTGTATGCAGAACAGATCATCCGAGACGCTGGGCTGTACCAGGAGGAATGTGGCATCAGGATTGGTGGAAGAATCATCAACAACCTGCCTTATGCAGATGACACAACGATGCTTGCTGAAACTGAGGAGGACCTGAAGCGCTTAATGCAGAGGGTCAAGGACTGTAGCCTTCAATATGGATTGAAGCTCAACATCAAGAAAACAAAGATTCTCACCAATGGGCCAGTTGGCAGCATCATGATAGATGATGAAGAGATTGAGATAGTTACCAGTTTTAGTTTACTTGGTTCCACAATCAACACTCTTGGTAACAGCAGCCAGGAAATCAGGAGATGAATTGCATTGGGAACGTCAGCTGTGAGGGACCTCTCAAGAGTACTGAAGAGCAACGACATCAGGATGGAGACTAAGGCGCGCCTGATCCAGGCTATGGTCTTCGCAATTACGTGCTATGCATTGGAGAATTGGACAGTGACTAGGGGTGATAGAAAGAGAATTGATGCCTTTGAGCTGTGGTGCTGGAGAAGAGTGTTGAATATACCATGGACTGCTAGGAGAACAAACAAGTTTGACCTGGAGAGGGTGAAGCCAGAATGCTCCTTGGAGTCAAGGATTCTGAAGCTTTTTCTAACATACGTTGGGCATGCTGCAAGGAGGGACTGGTCCTTGGAGAGGGACATCATGTTTGGGAGAATGGAGGGATGGCGCAGGAGAGGAAGACCCTCAATGAGATGGATCAATTCTGTGAGTGGAGTTGTGGGAATGAGTGTGTTTGAGACGGTGAGATTGGCACAGGATAGAATGGCATTTAGGGCTCTTGTACATAGGGTCACTATGAGTCGCAAGCGACTCGATGGCACATAACAACAATAACAACATTATTTCAGAAGTGGAGGGCCAGTGTATCCCGGTCTGGAAGCTCCACTGAAAACTGCCCACCATGAATGACCCTGTTGGAATTTGAAATACTGATAGTATGTCTTCTACCATCACAGTAAAATAAAAGTCATGCCAGTATCACAAATTGACAGGCAAGGGTTATATCCATGCAGCAAACTATAAACTGTTGGTGAAGCTGAACCTTCTATTTAGTCCTTTAGCTAGCTAAGCCTGGTGCTGAAAGGGATGTGTAAGGAAAGATCAGTCCATAGCCTCAGGGATATGAGTCTATGGAAAACTTGGTGTGTTCTTCTAATGAACTAATTGTGTCTGAATGCACCCTGAAGACCTACTGGACACAGTTCTCTAGAGAAACACAGTAGGTTTGCCGGAGGGGTATGGTGTGTGTGTGTGTTAAAGAAAAAAAGTACATATTTTCTAGGTCTCATCCCAGA